AGTCATACATACATAGATAACTTCACGCCTGTCTCCCATGGGGGTAGGCAGAGACTATTGAATTATAGAACGCCAATTATTACGATTCCTACATTATCATCAATGCTCGTCGGTTAAGTGTACTTTTAGTTTGGCCCTTTCATAAAGTCATCACTTTATGTAAATTCAACAAAAATAATATAGAACGTTAATAAAGTAATTAGCCTAAGTAGGACATTCACTAGTGTATGATCATAACGATAGACATTAACATACACATCGTGACCAAACTCGTTCAATACAACCACACCACCTTTTGTACTCAAATAAAAAGGCTTATTAAAACAATACATTAATTAATGAGAACAAAAGGCTCAAAATGCCAATTTTTGTTCATTACATAAACCCAAAATGGTTCTCGTCACGACTGTAGAACAACGAGTTAAATATACAAGGTAAGTTCACCCGTTCACGTCCACCCACCAATGTTGACCTATAGGTACGCGTTCATTTTTCGGATCACCATAAATTTAAGATAGAAAATGGGTGAGATCAAACAGTATAGTGTTAACTACTACTACTATGGTGGTAGGTTTCTTATTTTCTAGGACTGGTGAACTTACCCTAGGCGTCATTAAAAAGTAATATTATATTTCCACTCCTCTTACGTAACTTAGTTTATGGACAAAAGGCAATGGGCTCACTTCTGCTGCATGGGTGTTCTGGCTAAGAATGTTTGCATGAACCTATGTTTCTGCTTGTAGAAAGGACGCCAACAAGCGTATGTACCCTAATTAGTACTTATATTTATGAGGTATTAATTAGACTTTCCCTTGTAATTATCCGTATTGAATTTAGTATTGATAAATGAAATTTTAATGACCTGTGGGATATTGATTCCTTGGACATGGTACGGTAGAATGAAGGTTGTATAATAGATAGTTAATAATTTATAGGTTAACACAATTAATTATTTTGCTTCCTATTTCCTTATCGATAAGTTTACTCAAGATCGGACTGGTTATTTCCCAGAGGCATCAATAGAAGCAGAGGTGCTTATAGTACATCTAATACCATCTATAGATTTAATTTGTGAGATGAATTTCATAACATAACATAACATCACGTCTTTTTATCCCCGAAGGGGTAGGCAGAGGTGCACGTTTCGGCACTTAATGCCACTGTACAATGTAACATCCACTTTTCAATATTGAAAACCCCAGTAATACTTTGCCCGACCCGGGTATCCAACCCGAGACTCCTTGCCCGGCAGTCGCACTTGCGACCACTCGACCAACGAGGCAGTCAGATGAATTTCATAGCTGTGCATAATAAAGATTGAATTAAAATTGATAACACCAATAAGTTAGTTTTTTTACAATAGCGTGTCACTTAGGGCTTGGGCCGTACTTGTACTTTTTATTCGGTATTTGATATTCTATCAAAGACACAGTCTTCTTTTGTTTTTTTTTTTTAAGTTTTACGCTGAATACTGAACTTATAATTTCTTATTATAAGTTTAAAATCGCTAACCCGCATTGAGCAAGCGTAATGATTCCGCTCAAACTTTCTCCATGGGAGAAGAGGCCTTTGGTCAGCAGTGGCTACTTATAGGCTGTTCATGTGATGTGTGTGCTTGTTCAAATTTCAAACTAGTTGATCATGAAGTCATTATGAAGGAAGATGGGTTGAGCAGTAGAAGACTTATTAAAAACTAGCTATACGTGCGACTAGGTTCACATACAGAAAGAAGTCTCAGTTACTCCTTAGCATATTAGATACTTGCCTATAATAGTTCCATCAAAATTGATCCATCCATTGCAGAGTTTAGCCAGAACAAACAGAGAGAAAAAAAATATTTTTTTGTTTATTTTGGTATATATATCGTATGTATATTCATAATGTATATAAAAGCGGTTATTTCAATATTGCATACAGACACACCAAATTTATTTATAAATATGGACTATTTTTTTTAAGCGGGGAAAATCATCGAATCACTGCTCCCGCCTGGGTGAGGCGGGAGGGAGTGTCAGACTCTTACTGACTAAAAACCACCCCGTTCCTTCTCCTGCACGTCGAGCCGGAGCCCCGGTTACCCGTTAGGTTCTCCGCGACAAATATAGACTATAGATGTATAAATTTAAGATATTTAAGGTAAAAAAATAAAACAATCAAACTTGGCACGTTAAATTCAAAATTGTTATTTATTCTTAACTCGAAATGACAAGTAATTACATTTTCTCTTATACATGACTTACATAATAATATAGGTATTTCACATAATTTTCTTTAATTATTTTATTTAAATAATTATATTTACAACTTTAACATTATTGTACTCGATTGGTATACCATTTTTTATTACTTTTTATTTATTTATTTATCAACTTTGATAAATTTCAACTTTTAATACAAGTTTTTTTTCAGCTGTAGATAGATATTTAAACAAAATAACATATATTTTCATGCATAACATAACCATATCACCTTTACACATTTATACAACAAAAACCTAGATTTGTATTGTAACTTTCGTGAGACATACTAAATAAATTATTATATTTTCGGCGGAGGGTATCAGCGCGACAGTCGCCGCGTCGCAGGTCGCGAAATGCTGCTCATAAATATGAGCCTCAAGCATGGCTTAAAACTAGTCGAGTTCCTCGTCAAATTATTACGTCAGTAAACCGAAAACATAATAATTTAAAAATCTAGATGGCATAATAAAGTATATACATACACATGTATATAATTTATATTTATTTTCCACGACGTTGATGACGTAACTGGAAAAACGTGATTATACATTACATTGTGTACATACCTCTTTCTTATCCTTCCCAGAATAGCATTAATAACATGATACTTATAGTGTGTCAGCTGTTATATAAAATGTAAGAAAGTTATACATCTCAAAAACGGTCCGTTAAAACTAAATCACTATTCAAATTTGCGTCACAAAAAAGTAGTATATATATATAAACAGTTACCATAATTAACGCATTACTCAAAATAATAATGAAATTGAAAACGATGACTAAATATCATGAGCTAATTTAATTCTAGCAAGTCAATTGGTGAAATCATTCAATTTAGTAATTAGATTTTAGACTGTAGCCACAATAATACAAATAAATGTTATTATTATTTCATTATATACCGTGTGATACCATTGCTAATATTAAAGTTATTTGCCACGATGTACACTGTAGAGGTACATATCAGCTACAACTTAAGCTATACATAACTAGTTTATTATAGTGTCGCATTGTATGATATTCTTCAAGATTCGACGTTTAAAACTGAATGCTTAAAAAAAGTCATCAATTTAAATTCTCCTAATCTGAGATTCTAATTTGATACCCCACTCTCTGTCGACTTACTTGCACCAACTCTATCTTTTCACTCTAACTTTCTGCTCTTTCCTCTTTCTTGGCTATTACACAAAAACATAGGACAAATAACTAATTACAACATAACTGCAGTGAACGTGTTACTTTCCACTTAAAATGTGACGTCAGAGGGAAAACTTTGCCCTTCAACAATTCACCAAGTTAGAACAAAGTTGTACGCTTCAGTAACCACATTATGCTCTATTTAAGAGAGATTAGGATCTATTTTTGAGTGTCCTTATTACTTGTGCTATAAAAGGAACTGTGGTGACGCGAGAAGGTAAGTTTTGTTTTGTATAAATACACAACCTTTGGTTAAATAACAATATCTTCTTTGTAGATCCTATATTAAATCTGTTGGTTAATATAAAACTATTGGTAAATACTCAAATCATATTCCAAAGTCACTAATATGATAATTAGTTACACATAATTTTGACTTGCAGATAATACACTACGTTTTATATTAATCCACCTAAGTTACGAACTTATGGAAATATATTTGAACTAATTGGATCATTATTCCTCATTCAGAAGTAGTGAGATGTCGACGTGATCCAGTAGAGAACTAAAGTCAAAAAGATTAGCAAACTGAAGTAGCTATGGGCCGGTCACATTTGTCAAGGAACCGATGACCGTTGGGGTAGACATGTTTTGGAGTGGAGACCGCACCCAGGTGAATGTAGAGTAGGGCGCCCTCCAGCTAGGTGAAGTGACGATGTCCGTAAGGTAGCTGGTAGTGGTTAGATGCGAAGACCTAAAGGTCGAACTTAATAGCGTGCCATTGGAGAGGCTTATGTCCAACCGTAAACGAAAACAGGCTGTTAATGATTATTTTACGATGAGATATCAATTATAATGGCAGTTGATTTATTTGTCCATACTTCAATTTTTGTGCCTCTAAGTACATGTTGGTTTACAAGAGTCAAGTTAGTAATACATGGTCATCTTACTTCCAATAAAAATAATATCAACACATTTCTACAAGAAACTGACGACATAGAAATCTCATAAGTGAATACACGCTTTTCATGGCCCCATTTGCCTCCCACTGTGTAACTGATATTTCCTTTCACGTAATTATTATTTCTATATTTAATACTTGAAGCTATACAGAAGACTGTTACGACTCAAAATCAATACTTAGTTACACGTCTCTTACGAAGGCGTATTTTCTTTTCTCTTGAGGTATTCATGTCAGTATGAAGAACGCAAAAGTCATATGTTAATCTAAAAACCTCGATCGATTTTTAAAGCCAGTTAAAAAAGTGATGATAATTTTTAAGGGGGGAAAATCATCGAATGACTGCTCCCGCCTGGGTGAGGCGGGAGAGAGTGTCAGACTCTTACTGATTAAAAACCACCCCGTTCCTTCTCCTGCACGTCGAGCCGGAGCCCCGGTTACCCATTAGGTTCTCCGCGACTCCGAATCGGCATCGGCCCTATTGGGCCCCATCTGTGGTGGTCTGATGGCTCTTTGAGGCGCGCGCGGAACGCGACGCGCCGTACGCTCGGGTCTGTTTCTGGTCGGACGGGGAGCCACCCATGCTCGCCGTCCGCAGGCCCGCGCTTACGGTGGCCGGAGATCGTCCCGCGATCCCCGACGCCCGGTGTGTCCTTCGCGATGGCTGGGTTGCGAGGAGGCAGCGCTTCGCTGCCTCACGCGTCCCGCCTCCTCCTTAAGTGACGATAATTTGCTAAGCCATTTTTGACTTCTATTCGAGTCATTAGATCTTTAGGCACAACTGATACAATCTACTCTTGAGTCATCTAGCGTAAATTATATTTGTCTCAATTACTTTCTATTCGTCTCCAGGAGCCTTATTAGGCTCCAACAACTACACGGTTAGCAGAGATCAAGGAGCAGAGCTCTTTGATAAACCGAAACCTTTTAACATACAATCTTCAAGCCATTTACGTACGAGGAAATTAAGGCAACTAAATTTTATGTAGAAGGTGATCATAGTCCAGTATTGGTCTGTTTGGGGCTGTTGATATTAATATAAACAGTATGTTTTTGTACCTACATGAACATTTGACCTAGAAACAACAGCTTATTTTACTGTCATATATTTAAGTAGGTTTTTGACGTACAAATAGGTATCATTATAAACGTTTTGTAGTATTTTTCCTTCCAGTGCTCTATTTTGGGGATTATGTTTTCAAAGTTCATTAACTGAATTGATATCTTACATTGATCAAACAAATGTGTACTTTAGCGTGATTATTTTAGGTCTTGAATTACATTGTTATCCTATTTCTACTATAAGTTACCTTTAACGTGGTGACAATACTTTATATCAATTAACTTAATTTCATTTAATAGAAAAAAATGCGACAAATTTTAAATTTCCTCTTTTATCACCTTCCACGTGAGATTCCAAAACATTCAATGTATCGTTCAATCAGCAGCTCATCTAACTATACCATCCAGCATTAACAGACCTATGTTATGAAGGTTATCTCGACTTTGAAAGGTCAAGTTATATTGGAAAGTATAGTCAAGGGTGCTGTTGTATACGGGAGGAGGCCCATTATGCGGAACGACTCATCCATCCAGTTTAACGTTAAGGCCTTTTGTTAAGAGCCTTTTTGGCTTGTATTTATTTCCTTATCTCGTTTCTAACGAGGTGGGCTACCTGATCGACTTAAATGTATTGTTATTTGAGGTATTCATTGGTGTTACATATGATTGAAATTTTTTTTTACAAGAGTTTAAATAGGAGTCATTGTCAGATCGAGAAAATCTACGGTTGTATTATGGACCTCTTCCACGTGTAAGGGGTTAATTTTCATGATTAGCAGGTGAGTTGAAAATGGTAGCTAATAGTTTTAGGTTTTACCAAAGAGGGCTGTTACCCGATCTCTGTCAAATGTGTAGAACTGGAGTCCATTCTGCTTTGTAATCATCCTGTATAGAATTGGCAACAGAAATTTTATCATACAATAGATAATCTTGTTGATCACTTGATTAGAAAGTGTGACTGCTTAGCACTAAGTTTTAGTTTAGATTCTGTAACATAACATAATATTACGCCTTCTATCCTCGAAGGGGTAGGCAGAGGTATATTACGGCACTTAATGCCACTGGACAATGTAACACCCACTTTTCACTATTTATGTTATGAGTCCCATGTAATTTTAGATTCTGTGATTTAGCTTTCTCCAACTGTTATATAAAATTGTCCCCAATAATTATCAACTTGCCCTATACCATAAATTCAGAATAAACATTAGAGACATCGGATAAACTACATTCACCTCTGCGTTCTACATTCATACCTCCTTTGAAGAAATACGAACACGATATCATATTACTCGTCACATCGCAAGCGTGCCTTTAAAACAATGTAACCTCAACCTTTTTTATTCCCAAAATAAAAGGTAGAATATATTCAGAACATAGTAAAGAGTTCCGAAATAGCACAAAAGTACTATCAGTAAACGTTTTCCATATAAACGCGATTGTTAAAGTTGTTTCGTTACGATTTGGTATGGCATGCCGCCAACGCATCGCACTGGTTTTTGTATCAGATCTCTGACTTTATATTTTTGTGGAATTTTCGGTAATTGTCCCAATTACATATCATTTTGGAATACATATAATTAACTTACTACTAACTTAAAACAAGAGTCAATTTTTTGTTGTGTCTTTTAGAGCCAAAACAGAAAATATTGTATCCTCATGCATAAAAATCTTGTATATTTTCCCCTTTACACCAACTAAAATCTCAATTATTACAAGTCTGAAAATACATAGTATGGATCCCAGCAAATTAATCTACTCCAATCTGTCAAAGTACTCAATAAAAATTCAAGTTTACAATTATGCAATAAATTTGAAAATCCATCAATAAAATGACACATTAGACTAAATCGACATACCCTTGTACCATAATTACGAACTCCACACATTCTATTTACATCTATCTACAGCTGAAAGCGATCAACATCAGAGAGTATTACTTTATACATAGAAAATTAATTACAATGACATTTTACTTATTATTATTTTAAAAAACACAAGCAACGTTATCCAAATTCCTGATGATTTTGTAGGAAGATCATCCTCAAACCGATCAAGGTCACTAGAAGGTAGGTTAATAAATGTGTTTGTGAATTTGACGCTGACGAGTTGTTGCCATGTTGCATAGCAGCTGGCGTTTCACCTGTGGACAAAGGAGAAGAAAATATTAATAAAACAGTTTTTCTTTTTTTATATTAGATGGGACTGACGTTTAAGTTTGACCATCTCGCCTGGTAGTAAGCGATGATGTGGCCTACGATGGAGCACGTCGTCCCATAAGCAACCTATTCACTCGGGCCTTGAAGACAGGTTATACCCTTCAGGAAATACAGACTCTGGCAAAAAATTCCACTCCTTAGCAGTACACACAAGGAAGCTTGATGCGAAGGGATTCGTGCGTGTGGATGGGACATCTACCATGAATCAGTGACGCTTCACCGATTGTCTTTTGGTACGATTATGGAAAGGACTAGGGGGGAATAAGTTGTGCAAATCCCCCGGAACCATTCCTGAACACCACAATATTATTAACACACCTACATTTGTTACTGTACTAAGTCTTAAAATAAATAAATAAATAAATATAACATCACATACAATCAAATAACTTTATCAATATTTCTTGAAAAGTCTTAAACTGAAATCTATTTCAAATATTAATACCATTATTGATACTCTCAACAGAAAGTGCTTCTCGCAAGTATTTTAAACTCACAACTTCATATCGACTTTCATGACTTAAAAGTCCTCTATCTTTCGCAAACATTTTGAAACCAAGATCCCGTTTTAAGCTAAAGGAATTTCTAGTGTTGTTCACTGATATTAAAGAAGTATTTATGATTTTGGTAGCAATTTTTGTATGCCAAATGGTAAAATCAAAATTGTGGATATACATATTTCTTTACGACGATTTTTCGTTCTCGTGACTTTTTGTCTGATATAACAAAACAGGGAGTATGTAACCAAATTAGGACTCTAGCTAGTTCACATAAGAGCATAAATTAAAATAATAGCTTCACAAAATATATCCAACTAAACTAGCGTGTTTGAAACTCTAGTCTAGTCTCAAGGAAAACTAATTTAATTCTAAACTTTATACAGAGGCTTACGCTTGAAGAATCTTGAAGAGTTTAAGGTCGAAACAAATGACAATAATGTAATTACTCGGCTAGAATAAACAAGAAAAACTTTGTAATTATTAACTTCCTAATTTATTAACTGTACTAATTGGGTGTGCGTTTAGCTTGTTTCGTTTTGGCGCAGGGTTCCGTGGTCAAAGTCCAGGAGACAGTTAACTGGTAAAGCTGTCTATGGAACCTGTTTGTGACTGGTCTCTAATCTCAATACTAGAATTAATCTCTTATAGTCTAAGATCCGGCTGCAGAATCAGTGTACCCATCGAGTGTTTGCTGAAAACCAAATTTTTACATATATTCATGATTAGGAGAATTTATATCCACCAGGTTGCCTATCAAAATGTGGCCGCTAGTATTTTTAATTAAATTATTAATAATTCATAATCCGTAAGAAATTTCATTGACTTTTTTTTTCAATGAAATGTCGTCTACTTTACGGCAACATCTATAAAGACTCTGAAAAATTATGGTTGCCGTTGCGCACCTGGCCGCACCTCTTCGCAGCCAGGTATACACAGGTATGAATTTGTTACATTTATACACCCACAACGTACATTTATAATTTATATATCAAATTAAAGCAATTTTTTTTCTGTATATTATTATATACGGTTGCTTAATTAAATCTGGCCGCCAATAAGGGTTGCTGGCTAATAAATATAGTAAATATTAAAAGTAGAGTGAAAGAGAGCTAGCGCGTAACACCACTAGTCAGACGAGGATAGCGATTGCCAGCTGTCGGACGGTTTAAAGCCATTGCGCATGCGTCAGATTTAACATTTTACGTGCCTTATGTATGAACTCCCAAAGTGCCAAAGTGTAAATGCCGCAAGATTTTTATTATTCAACAAAATGTACGCTTCAAAAGGAAGTAGTGAGAAATTTATGAGAAGAATTAAAGGTTTTGACTCAACGCACATTCCACCATGCTGGAAATCTTTAAAGGAAAAATTATTGCGAACCATCTTTGTTAATTCGATGTGGTTAAATGCTACTGAGCGGGATTGCATCAAGTTCAGCGCGGAAAATAATGGCTGGCTGCTGTTAGATGGTTTTTTAAAACCAACATGGTTCCTGGGAGATCCAACTCCAGCGCAAGTTGAGAATGTGCTGTGTGATTCCACGAACAAGCCTTCCGATAATAACGACGATACCGATATTTCTGATGAAAGTGATAGCTGCGATGATAGTGTGACTGAGAGCTCCGATGATTCAGATTTTTAAAAAAGAGTCATGGAAGTATAATACAAATATAATACATTTTAAAAATTTATAATTTGCTTAAACTGATGATTGATGAATATGTAAAATAAATGTAATACTTGAATAAAATTAAATCTTTTTTCATACAGTACTTGTACAACACAATTTTTTTACATAAGTAACCTTGATTTTATTTATCATCAATATTAATTTTTTTTGTAATTTTTAAATTTGTCATTGACTTTTTAATTTTTTATTTTAGAAAAGAAAGACGTTTCTTTTGGAGTATTTATTATTTTGAGTCGTACCTAGTGACTAGTGGTGTTACGCGCTAGCTCTCTTTCACTCTACTTTTAATATTTACTATATTTATTAGCCAGCAACCCTTATTGGCGGCCAGATTTAATTAAGCAACCGTATATAATAATATACAGAAAAAAAATTGCTTTAATTTGATATATAAATTATAAATGTACGTTGTGGGTGTATAAATGTAACAAATTCATACCTGTGTATACCTGGCTGCGAAGAGGTGCGGCCAGGTGCGCAACGGCAACCATAATTTTTCAGAGTCTTTATAGATGTTGCCGTAAAGTAGACGACATTTCATTGAAAAAAAAAGTCAATGAAATTTCTTACGGATTATGAATTATTAATAATTTAATTAAAAATACTAGCGGCCACATTTTGATAGGCAACCTGGTGGATATAAATTCTCCTAATCATGAATATGTGTAAAAATTTGGTTTTCAGCAAACACTCGATGGGTACACTGATTCTGCAGCCGGATCTCGTACTATTAGTTCAAGGTAACTATATAAGAAGCCTCATATTAACAAACAAGAGACGCGATTTTAAGTTTCCAAATCTTTTATTTTCGCAAATATTGATAGGATAATTTATCGCGCTTTGTCGACCGGTAAGCGCTTACCATCAGGTAGGACGTGTGCTTTTTTTGCCTCTGTCGTGGTATAAAAAAGGACCCAATGCAATCGCGTTTAATAGTGATAGTCGTCCTAATATAAACTTGATCAAAAGCTAGAACTTAATCTCGTTTTTTGTACATAATCATGTTGTTGTCATGTTCTTTTGTGAAAGAGCAAAGAAAACAAATATAAGCATTGAAAAATCGAAACCTACTATAAAATTTATTTATAAAACGTACATGAAAATCATTTTAAATCCTATTATTGGTAAAAACACTCTTTAGAACCCCCACACAATACAATACTCACACTTTCTGTGTTTTTACGACACTTTTAAAGAATTAAGATGGCCCACGAAATCCAATTACAGAAATGTACTTAGGTTTCCCGACTGTCTTCGAAATGACAATTTACCTTCATCTATTACATTAAATTCATTAGCCTTTGTACCGCCTCCTAAATCTCATAAAACATTTGTACCAAGAACGAAATTATATTTGCAAAATGGATTTTGTAATTTAACATTATTTTATGCCAAATATTTAATCAGTTTTGGGAACGCGTTTCGGGTTATTACGTCACATTCCCGATGGATATCATTTCTTTTTTAGATAACCGATCTTTTTCTCGTATATATAAAAATAAATTATTGTTAATAGAGCATTTAAGCAAAAAGGAAGGAAAAGAAAGATGAGAATTATGTTTATATCTTTTGCCGGTTTATAAATAGGAGTGCTGGAACATTTCTTTGTTGTTTCATTTCCATATTTTATTGTTATTCTCTTTTGAAAATGTCTTTTGATTTTCGTGGGGAGTATTTTTAGATTCTACGATTTTAAGCTTAGATTGGAACTTTACAAGTATCAATAGGTTTCTAAATTAACAATTCTTTTTTAATGGATGTTTTGTCTTTCATCTGTTCAAAATAATATCTCCGGGGCATCACTTTTGTGATGTTTAACTTGAATTTTTCAATAATAATTTTACTACGAAGCATATTTTGTTATCGATCAAAGCATAACTTTTCGTAAGTAACGTTTTGTATGTGACTTGTGGCTGTCTTGGAAAACACAATTGTCGACTAAAGATTTACACCGAATGAAAGAATATTATTATTATTATTTTATCAAAATCAAATCCAGATCACAATCTAATTTTACGCCAATACCAATAAAATCGACTAGAATTTTATATTTCACATCTATCTAATATGGGAATATAATCTTTAAGCCTGTTGGGTTAATGCCTATTTTTGGAACTCAATATCCGCTTACTTTTCGAGGAGAAAATTGAATCTTTGCCATAACGTCTTTATTTTCCAAAGCTCTGTAAGGTAAGGTTCGAATCTTGTTAGAAATAAAGCTGATTCAAAAACTAAACTATATTTACGTGTCAATATTATGTAAATAAGTTTTTAACTTTAATAATCAAAACCGTCATCAAATTTTTAAAGTTTCATAAAACCAACGACAACTATTTCACCAGAAACATAATAAAATCATAAATATCAGTTTGACTATCCGAACATTCATTGCACTCATTTTTGAATGCAGAATCTGTACAGAATGATACATACATTGTGTCAAAAAGTTCTCGTTGTAAGAAAAATAGCTTCAGCGTCATTCTCGTGGCATAAAAATATCCTACGTGTTATCTCTAGACCATAATCTACCCCGTTCTAAATTTCATCCCAATCAATAAAGGAATAAAAAACAAACAAACACATATACAGAACAGCTATAAAACTTCAATACCTTCGATTTGTGGTGTTGCTTCAGCTTGCAACTTTAACAAGCTAACGTTTCTCAAACGGCTATTGACAGGTTTCTGGACCAAAACCTTTGTTGGACCAATAGAGTATTCTAGTACTAATTGATTTTCTCGGACATCGGTTGTGGGAAAGCCCCTTGCACTTACAAGTGTGTGGAAATTATGTTATTGAATCAAAACCTAAAATGTGGATTGACAGTTGATCTTTGACGAGAATGGTGTAATTATAATTTTGAGTTTTTACCTGTTTTTCTTTTCCCTATCTTTAAGCGTAGGCCTATTGGTCGCAAATGCGACTGCCGGGCAAGGGGTCTCGCGTTTGTTTCCCGAGTTGGACAATGTACAACTGCTTTTTTTTAATCCTCAGTAGTAACACGGAGTCTAGAATTGGGTCCGGTAGGTATATAGCAATAGACACATAACATAAAAGTGAAAAGTGGGTGTTACATAGTTCAGTGTGCAAAAGTGTCGTAATGTGCACCTAATCTGCCTACCCCTTCGGGGATAAAAGGCGTGACGTTGTGTTAAAATTCCTCAAACCGTCTGTTTTTAGATGGTCCTTGTTACGTGAAATAAAATCGGAATTCATCACCTATTTTATCGCATGGATTATCATTTTCCCAAACTGATAAGTAACGTTTATTTTAATTCAGCATGTATTAATAAAGTATTGTTCAGAAAAATAAAATCATATCAGGCCTTATAAAGGCGTGGACTCACAGTTTTATATTGCTTTACAAAAATAAACTTTATTTCCATTGAATAAAAGTGCAAACGAGCACGCGTGCAAGGCACTGGAGGCGCCGAGTCGTTTGAAGTCTGAATCAATGTTTGTACTACTTTGAAGTTTACTGTGCTGAAAATAAAGTATATTACTCAATGTGTTAAAAATATTTCACTCCTTTTATATGGGGTTTCCACGTGGATTTTTTCTTTCGATTTTAATTTCTTACTAAAACAACGGTAAAGTTGTGTTGTGTGCTTTCTTACGTGTTTTCTGTTTATTTTCTTCCAGTACGTTTTGCTTTTCATTCATTTCGCTTCCGTGTGTGTTATGTGTCAAAGAAGAGGTCTCTTTTTTATGTTCTTACATTCGTTCTTTTACTTTGACTTTATAATTTGAATCTCTCTGTGGCAAGTCTATAGGAAATTGGAATACAAGCGTTCCTAGAAAATCCAGAAACTCTTCGCTTGTCAACAGGTTCAGATACATATCTGAGCCTGTTGATTAATTGACGTCAGGGACATTCCTGACATCAATTAGTCACATAACATTTGCTGATTTCCGTACCTATTGAGGAGTCTCATCTTTCTTTTTTAAATCTGACCGCACCATTATTTAGATGCACAAAACCTAAGTTAATTCAAACGTCAGTTTGAATTGAGGAGGCACCTGGAACTCGTTAAGGTACTGCAAAAAGCATTACCTATAACTCTGCTATAGATTGAAAACCATTGAAAAATGATTTTAACAAACAAATATTTTTGACATTTAGCAGTAACATAACATTACGCCTTTTGTCTCCGAAAGGCAAATGTGCAAATTACGGTACTTAATGCCACTGTACAATGTGATACCCACTTTTCACTATTTATGTTATGAGGCTATAATAGGGCACAATTCCAGACTCCGCGCTTCTACTGAGAATCTTTGAAAAAACTCAGTAGTATTTTGACCGACCCGGGAATCGAACACGAAACCCCTTGCCCGGCAGTCGCACTTGCGACCACTTGGCCAACGAGGCAGTCAGTCAGTGTCTAAATAATATTGTATACTAAATAATAAGAGAGGAAGCAACTACTTACTCTGAACAACATGGACCGTCACAGAAGCTGCCTTTGCATTAGCAGGCACGCAAGTATAGTTTCCGGCGTGACGCGGCTCTGCCTTCCCAATGACCAGCTCGCTTGTCTGACGACCATTGTGGACACTCACGCCATCTGCATGAACAAAATTGAAATGTTTAGGATATCTTAACATGCACTTTTAAGATTATGTGGTTTGGTTTCGCCACTCATTTGTTTTAATTATAGGTATTTATTTACTAGGATGACGGTGGTACAGTAGTCACGTGCCACCGTGCATAGTGAACCTTAAGGGAGATGCACATCTCCCTTGTGATGTGCCGTTACAGGCGTTTTACCGGGGCATTCCGGAGCAGGTCTATTATAGAGGACTTGGTGCCCCCCATAGGTGATGATGGTTGCCGCCGGGGTGGTTATAGTAAAGTAAGAATCCCGCACACCCTAGTTTTTTATCCCAAAACAGCTAGGCGCCTTTAGAAGGTTTCCCCCGGTATCAAAAAAAAGGTATTTATTTACTGTTTTTCAGATTAGGTACTAGATACTCCGTCATTATCATCAACATTACTGACAATGCTCTATAGAACTTATACTTACTTACACTATAGGATCTTTGCTAACGCATTATAATCTTACTGAATTTACGTTTAACATCAGTTAAGTACTTTATTTAAATGTTTCATTTCCAGCTTGATTAAACCAATTTATTTCAGCTGTTGGAAATTATAGTCACGGATCCGGCTAAAAAACCAAAACACCAAACAAACTAATCTAGCTAAAAATCTATTGGTTTTTTTTTTATTTGAAGGGCTGACGTTTGGCTTCTATCTCGTCTCTCTATTCCGCACTCTGGAAAGCGATGATGCGGCTTACGATGGAACACGTCTCACGGCTGCCCATAAGCAATCTATTCACTCGGGCCTTGAATACACCCCTTCAAAAAACACAGACTCTGGCAAAGAACTCCACTCCTTAGCAGTACGCACAAGCGATCCATATTTTATATTCAAAACAAAACAATCCCTTCTGCGCAGCGAACCCATACACCAGTATCTCAGCTTGTACAACATAAATTATTTATTTATTTCACAAGACACGCCACTCACTTCAGATTGAAACACAAGTAAAAGACAAAGCAGAATGTCCACTGTAAGATCTTTTAAATTGGGTCACGAGAGTTTTATTTACATTAGCCGGAATGCTCTAGAAAATTCTTTAGACAAACACTGGAGGTGCTTGATGGTGAAAAGGATTGTGTTACTTGATTTGAAGTAAAATCTCTTTGTTGTGGAGCTTATTTCAAGCGAGGTTGTGTTTTGAAACCAGCTGTTGATAAATCGATTTTTTTTATATATCATAATCCGGTAAATGAGCAAACGGATCACCTGATGGTAAGCAATCGGCGCCGCCCATAGACACTCGAAACACCAAGGCGGTTTCGGGAGGATTCGGGGATTCGGGAGACAGGAACTAGGGACGGGTAATTGGGCCTCCGGTAACCTCACTCATACGACGAAACACAACGCAAGGGTTGTTTCACGTCGGTTTTCTGTGAGGCCGTGGTATCACTCCGGTCGAGCCGGCCCATTCGTGCCGAAACATGGCTCTCCCACACTTAAGATATTAGATAGAGTAAAATACATTTATCAACGGCCTTGTTATTTCTATGGGTGTATAAGAGCCGACTAAGAGACTTGACAAGATAGGAGACTGGGTTCTCGGATAAAAGTCAAACTTTTAAACTGCCGTCTCCAAACCATATGCCAAGTGAGTTTAAGAAAATTTTAATGATGATACCTGATTAGAAGAACTAGGCTGTCGTTTCGAGATATGAAATAATACTATCAGCGACTTGAATTTCAACATTGTAAGTAATATATGGAGCTCAGAAACTTGCTCAGTACATCAGTATACGCAGAATATTGTGTTGCACTACATATACATATGTATAGGTAGGTTAAAAGCTACATGCTAATGATTAAGTGACCTTGTGCGTAATTACGTATCGACACTAATCCATGACTCAAAGGGTATTCACGTTAATCGGTCTATCAGATTAGGATTGCAATACGTAATGTATACAGTCAGGTAGCCTTAATGTTTAACAATGGAATTGCTTGTTCGACCTTCTAATAACTACTAATAAATATGTATAGATGTTGTTTAAGAACAGCTTATGAAATAGTCTTTTGGACAAAGCGATTTGAAGAAACACAATAATATGAACTTATGATCTACTGCCCACGTAAGTGGCTCTCGTTCACGAGTGTTCGTCAATTCATGATTGCGCATTTTGTGGAAAAATAAAAACAATGTGTTCACAGCGCGAGAATAGGTCGTCAGTCACTCATCATACAAATTAGCCAATTGGCATTTATATGTTGCATGTATTCGTCAAATGTCTCGTAGTGGACAATACACCTTATACAATATCAAAATCATAATTAAAATAATGATCAAAGAGTAAGGTTAAACAAAATAAAAATTTAAAGGAGGGTTGGAATAGAATATGCGATAGGATATAGCTCATTGGGAAGGAATAAAGCGGTCGAGTTCAAGTAACTTTGAATTAGGGTGGACAGAAGAAAATAACCGTAACTACGACTATGACAGTATAGATCTCATTGTGGAATGGTATCAAATGAAATTTTATCATCCATAGCTTTTTACAAGTGCATAAATATAATATCAGAATCATAGAAGCATTCTTTAAATTACTTTTCCAACAAAATATGAGTGGTAATTAAAAAACACCTTGATTTTATAACAGACTAGAACTGCCCGCGACTTCGGACGCGCAATCCCGTTTTCTCCCGTTCCCGTAGGATTTTCAAGGCCTTGTTCTGTCTTAAGAACCTTCTCCTGACAATAATAAACATAACAAAAAATAAATTAGCCAAATCGGTCTAGCCGTTCTCAAGTTATAGCGTGACAACGGGAAACGGGTTTTATTTTTACCGACTTCAAAAAAAGGAGGAGGTACTATGTTCGGCTGATTGTTTTTTTTTTTTTTTTTGTTTGTTCGCGCAGTACTCCGCCATTTGTGAACCGATTTCCAAAATTCTTGTTTTGTTTGAAAGGGTATACTCCCGAGATGGTCCCATTTCCATGAGGTCAGGATCTGATGATGGGATCCTAGGGAAACTGAGGGGAACTTTCGAAAATTCTATGGGCGAGTAATGCGTCTATTATGTTTTTCAATTAGGATTTTGAAACACTAAAATTTGATAAGGGTCTAGAGTTGACCTGATGATGGAGCCGACAGGCAGTCGAGGGAACTCCTCAGCGGTTTATATTAACTACCTTGAGTTTGGGCTTGATTAATTTGGATTGATGAGGACTTTACACCTAAATAGAGTAAGGCTGTCATTAAGGATCTGATGATGAAGAAGTGTAATTGTTAAAGGAACTCCTTAACGGTATACAGTAACTACCTAGTGTTTGGGCTTGATTAATTTGTATTGATTAGAACTTTGCACCTATGTAGATTATAAGTAACAAAACGGGTATATGTAGCTTTACACTGAAAATGATAAAATAATAAAATAAAAACTGCGTTTAAAAAACCGACTTCAAAAAAACCAAAAACTAATAACAAACAAAAAGTCAAAACTAAAAAGCAAAAAATAACTATGATTAGTACTGATAGATTACCCACCCACTGATAGGTTAGAAGTCGGTGCCATAAGATCATATCATAATGATATAACTTAATGTCCACATAAATGTGAATTAGGTACCTATTAAGGTTTTAATGAATAATTTTGTATGGAACTTATGGCACCGACTTCTTACCTATCAGTGGGTGGGTAATCTATCAGTACTAATCATAGTTATTTTTTGCTTTTTAGTTTTGACTTTTTGTTTGTTATTAGTTTTTGGTTTTTTTGATTATATATAGATAGAAAATAACCATCAATAACACCTATTTTAACCGCAAACGTAATACGAAAAAGCAATATTCCAAATGTATTACAATCCAGGATGACTAAGCAAATGAATCTAAATTGTAATGCATTTATGAAAGGCAAGGAAGGAGAAGATTCCTTAACAATAAATCCATCCCTACTTTCCTTGGCACTAGGGAAATATGTATACCTACGTACTTTAATATATTTATTTGTACTATTTCTTTAGCTTGCTACTCACCTGACTGCTAACGAAGCAAAATTCTCAAGAGATTTACTCAAGCTTACAGCTTTGTCAGACTTTGGCAAAATGGCGGCGTCCATTGTAAAAGAAATAGTTGTCTTTTTGTTTCAAAGTATTTTTCGTGGACCAAATTATTCGTGACGGTAATATAAGTAGGTATCGGGTTTTGTGGATTTTGTATTCGTTTTCTATTTTGTTTATTACAAGATTTTGAACTGATATTTACTTCGTCATATATTTTATGATAGGGTTATAGGTAGGTACATCATAATGAAGGCATAACGGTACGTTCATCAAAGAGGTTCATAAAATTTTTCTGGGGTATTTATGATTTAACATTTTGTGACTGCCTCGTTGGCCGAGTGGTCGCAATTGCGACTGCCGGGCAAGGGGTCTCGGGTTCGATTCCCGGGTGGAGAAAAGTATTACTGGGTTTTAAAAAATAAATTCTCAGTAATAGCACGGAGTCTGAGATTGTATATGGCAATAGGTCCACCCCCTATTACATTAGACTCATAACATAAATAGTGAAAAGTGGATGCTGCATTGAACAGTGGTATAATGTGCACCTCTGCCTACCCCTTCGAGGATTAAAGACGTGATGTTATGTTATGATAATTTATTATTCAGAAATCCAAGACATAGTACTCAACATTGACGTGCACAAGTTTAAGAAATAAAGCTAAAAAATCATTAATAAAAAACAGCTATACATCTACTTCCAGCTCAAAAAATCTGTTCGTTTAAAAAAAAAACTCATACAGCCATCCTGTTAATTCAACAAACTGTACGAAAGTAAAAAATCCTAATTACGGCCATGATCCCGTTTGGAATAAAACTGCAGCAATGCGCAACGCAAGGGTACAACTTTCTGTTTGTAGTTTTTGCACCGTGCATTGATGGATGCAACTTCAACTTACTAAAATATTATGCTAGGAGCAGAATTTATGATGTAATTAGCACTTTGCTCTGGAACGTTTATGAATTCTTTTCTTAGTCAATTTTATGAAACGTTTACATACATACATAACTTCACGCCTGTCTCCCACGGGGGTAAGCAGGGAACGTCAATTACTACGATTCCTACATACCTCTTTCGCTTCATCAACAATCATCAATCTTTTCATGCATGCTCGTCGGTTAAGGGTACTTTTAATTTGTTTCTAATGAAATATTGTGTAGTTTTCGATCTAGTTGTGGCTTTGTATTGGTTGTGTGTGATTGAATTATGTAGTCTTCTTCTTAGTGGTTTTTAATGGATTTATTCATTAGATTTCTTTCACGCTATTCTGAGTTTAAAAGAAACTCAGCATTTTCTACACTTGGAACAGAAATGCCTTAGAGGTGAAGATAGAAATAGTAGATAATTATTATATTAGGACGTGCTTGTTACTTATAGGTAATCAGTAAATAAACTATATAACAGATTTCTTGTTTAGAAGTTATTCTGTAGAAGTCATCTTATAATCCACCTTTTTTTCTTTATTTTAATAATGAAGGGTTTTATCAAAACTGGCAATGTCACCCTCTAGAGAATGGACTTAATGACTTATAATCTATGCTTAATAGGTCAGTTAACTAATCTATACAATATTTTAGCCATCTTCGAAAATGGGTTACTAAAGACTATATTTACCGAACTTACTAAGACTGATATTGTGTTCAATTGTGTGATTGCGATTCTTTCACGCTCATTCCTGACACATCGTGTTACGATATGATACATATCTTCAGTTTCACTACACTCACTACAATAGGGATGATGACAGAGCATGAAATTTAAACATCTAATTAGTCCGTCAGTTAGGTAATGAAAAAATATTAGACACGTAATTTTTATTTTGTCGTATAAGAAAACAATACTTAGATAAAAAGAATCAAAGTTTAGGATTGGGAGTTATTTCAGAATATAAATCGTACTCAAAAATGATGCCATGCGATATTTCAAATTAATGTAACATCGAAACTGTTCGTTTTCGTAAGAAAATAAAAAATACGTGTCTAATGTTTTTAAATAATCTACCAGACGGACATTAAAATAAAAATTAGTCATCTATCCTATGGGGATGTCGCGGAGAACCTAACGGGTAACCGGGGCTCCGGCTCGACGTGCAGGAGAAGGAACGGGGTGGTTTTCAGTCAGTAAGAGTCTGACACTATGGCGGGAGCAGTCATACGATGATTTTTCCCCCTTAAAAAAATCCTATGGGGTTGCAACTTTATAATCCACATAGTTACATGATTTCGAACACAATATGAATACTCCCTTTACTCCTTCCCACAGCGTACTTCGGTGAAAAGAGCAAATAGTGCAAATCCTACCTTCTACCTCGACATTTCTAACGATGTTTATTTTAATATGACTTTTAAAGTTATTTAAAAACTCGCTCTCAAATGTCATGTTGATATTTTAAAAACATAATTCTGAATTTAACGTTTATTTTAGTGTGCGAATAAAACTCGCGAAGAACTCTTTTCCCTAGGACATACATTTTAAATAAAGTGGGTTTTAAAAATGTAGGTAATGCTTGTGGCTCATTTTTGATTAAAAAAGGCTTTGGGTTAGGTCGTTTGTAAATTCCACAAAAATGAAATGTAAATTACGTTTGCTATCGTTTTGTTTACCCAGTTATATTAAAGGTAGAAAAATATTAATTTAAATTTAATCTCGTTGGGATTTATGAATGTGTTTATAAGAACAAAAAATAAATATGTTTTAGGTATAATGTGCATGTACTAATCGGTTTCGCAGTTAAATGAAAATGTCTGTGGAATAAAATGTAATTTGTCTATTAAAATTTCAAGATGTTTTAACAAAGATAATTAAACCCACGTGACGTCATTTGAAGAATGCATGCATTCTTTACAAACAACAGGCGGCGTACAAATGGCAAAAGCTTGCTTCTTGCTTAGAAACAATGAAAACTTAGTGTGAGAGATCTTCGGCACAAATGGGCCGGCTCAACCGGAGTGATACCACGGCCTTACAGAAAACCGACGTGAAGCAACGCTTGCGTTGTGTTTCATCGTGTGAGTGAGATTACCGGATGCCCAATTACCCCCTTCCCTTCCCTAATCTCCTAAATCCCTGTTTTTAATAATTGATTGCATGGTTGGCGCAGTGCCTGGTCAAGTAGGCAACTGGCTGTCGCGCATAGTGTCATGAGTTCAATTTCAGCAAGGAACAACTCTTTGTGTGATCCATAGATAGTTGGTCCGGGTCTGGATATCATGTGTTTGTGAAACTGTATGTTTGTAAACGCACCTACGACACAGAAGAAAATCCTAGTGTGGGGCAACGTTTTATTTTAAAGATTAAGAAATGAAAAGATTAAGGTTTTTGGGAAGTGCATGCATTCGTCAAATGACGCAACGTCGCAAGGTCGTATCAAAGAAACAGTCTTTAATATAACTAAGAGTCAGTAGAAAATAAATAGTTAAGAGTATTAAAATATTGTTCCTACATACTGAATAATAATATTATATGTATGTTAAACAATAAATAAGTTCTAAACAAGATTTCTTTCAGAGCTGACTTCAACACTGAATACAAGACTTTGAACTAAGTTTAAGTGTTGCTTATAATGTCTAAGTGAAGTTAATAATTTATGTATTCTGTATGAGGTGTATCTTGAAAGCTTGTTTATTTTGATTGTCTTGTTGCTAGAGGAATTGTATGATTGACATTAAAGAAAACTTATTGTTAATATGTTTCGGTCCTGTTGTTCGTGTGTTTTTTTTTATTTAATAAGCCGGAAAATGAGCTGACGAATCACCTGTAAGTAAGCAATCGGCGCCGCCCATGCAAACTAGAAACACTAAAGGTGTTCGAGAGCGTTACCGACCTTTTGGGGATTAGGAATTAGAGGATATTTGGGAATTCGGTGATTGGGGAGATTGGGGATGGAAGTAATTGGGCCTCTTGTAACCTTACTCACACGACGAGACACAACGCAAGCGTTGTTTCACGTCGGTTCTCTGTGTGGACGTGGTATAACTCAGGTAGAGCCTCATTCGTGCCAAAGCATGGTTCTCCCACACCTGTAAGTGTATGTGGTAGAAGATTTACATTTATTTGTTACCTGCCCTACTTCTGCCGCAATTATCGTATTTGTAACCTTAGATGTTGCAGGTGTACTGAGACCACAATGACTATAAGATTTGTTGCTACCATTGTAATATAAAAACACCATTCGGTTAGTTTTAAGCGTGTCATAAATAACCACATGTATATTACTTGACACATAGCTAAAGCTTGGATATTTTGTATGTTTAATCACATAAAACTTAAACATTAGAAAATAATACTTTTTGATAAACTAAACTACGTTTAAAAACAACGACATCAACCCCCTCTCTTTTGAAGTCAGTTAATTAATATACTGAAACTTTATCTTAAGTGTAACAAACACTTCCGAAAACCACATCAAATTTGGTTCAGTCAATAGCGAGATAATGATATACAAATATACATACATACAAACAGGTCAAAGTTATAACCAACATTTTTTTTTGAAGCGGTTTATAAGGTAAATAAGGTTTAATACTCACTCAAATCATAGTTGATCATTCTGTTCTCGAAGTACCAGAACACGTAAGATGGCGGCTCAGTGGACCGCTTGACGACACACACCAGCCTCAGCATCGAACCTTCGTGGATGATCTTCTCTGATTCGCCCACTATCTCCGCGTATGCCGCTGTTAACAAAAATTCGTAATGTTATGACTGTATCTTTGGTTTTAGATTAAAAATAGATTAATTTAAGACGCCCACTTCTCATGTATAAGGGTGCTGGTTTAAAACCTATCAACGGCAAGTACCAGTGTGACTTTTTCGTAGTTATATGTTGATGAGGTGAGAGATATAAATGACATAAACTTTTGCAGATTAAATGATATAACGAAGGTTAAATTTGAACTTTGGGATAAACAAATGATAATTATAATGCCTACTGTGGTACGTACTATGTACGCTCGACCTAATATTCTAAGTCTAGAATTAAAGTTTCTACCCAATTTTCTGTAACGGAAATATGGTATGGATCACAAAGGACTGAATTAATTAGGAATGGTTGGTAATTTTAGGGGCTAGACTGCAAAAGAACTAAAGGCATTAAAAGGAATGTTTCTAGGTAAAAAACTTCATCATTTCAAAGATATCGTAGGTACTACAACTATTCTGTGCTAGACCTAAGTATCTACTTATTTTAACGTCGACAAATTTTTAATATTTCAGTTCTTTATAAAGAGCGTTTATAGTTTTGTATAGTCATATAGATATAGTAGTGGCAACCACTGTATAACTATTGTACATTTAAAACTCTTCCGTTACTGAATGACTGACTAACTGACTAATGACTGATGGCACTGACTGACTAGCTGACTGACTGACTGGCTGACCGATTGGATGACTTACTGACTGAATGACTGACTGACTAACCGACAGATTGCTTACTAGGTATTATTGCAAAATTAAAACTAGTGGATCTAGAAAGTAGCGGGACAAACGCAAAATGCACATAGAGGTATTTGTGCGAACGAATTCGCGATCAGTTTGCATGCTATATTTTATACGATATATGAAAATTATAGTTTCTAAACTAACAGCAAGCCCACAAAACAAACTAAATAATAAATCAAGCTATTTAACATACGATACTAATTTAACTGCAGTAATTTCATAGCTGACTTTTATCTCACCCTAGAGATATTCTGGCTGAGTTCATATAGTATTCCCACGCAAGATAACCCACTTAAAATATTAATTACCAAACGCAAGCCCGCGAGAGGTAATCGCATTCAAAGTTACGACACTATAATGAAAAGGGAGGAAGTCGCATGACTCATTATATACAGGGTGGGTTTTAATATACACGTGGTCTTAACCTAGATTTTGAGATGCAAAAATACGCTTTGCGGTGTACAAGTACACGTTGGGACAGGCTGTATGTTCTTTTTAAGAAGGAGGTGTACTGGTAGGCCTAAATTGAAATGGCTTTTTGTAGGCTGGTAAATAAAATTGCGCTCTATTATAATTATTATGTAGGTCAATTTTTAGTTTTCCATGATAATTCAAATGTTAGTCTCATTTTCAACTAGATAATTTCGTCTATTAACAATCGCATTAGACTGTTAACATATTTATTTTTTTGTCAAAACTAAAGCAAAAAATATGTTGAACATAACAAGACATAGGATCCCGCAGAAACATTTTTATTATCCATTTTATATATTAAAATTAGCGTCTACAATTAGAACTCTATGTCTTCTGACTTAAAATCTAAAATAAATCACAAACACTTCTAAACAACGCATAAATACTTCTACAATTATAACTCTATGTCCTACACCATAAAACCTAAAATAGCTAACAAATGTTACTTTATACAAGTGTGATGTTGATTAGCATTTCAGTACAGGACTGAGAGGACCGAGCGTCAAAAACATTTCGAACGATACTCGACAAATACAACACTCCAACGCGTTGTTTGACGTTCAACAGAATTGGACGATACGTGTGTCGAGAGGTTTTGGAAAAATCCTGTTCATTCAATTAGTCTCTGTTGATTTTTTAGATACCTAGATATCTTTACTGCTTTTAATTTTACTAATATCTTATTTTTTATTCCCATATTATTATAATATACCAAATTATACCAGGAAGTGGGATGATGACAGGGGTATGAAAATTAAAAATATAATTAGTCCATCAGTTAGGTAATAGAAAAATATTAGACACGTATTTTTTAGTTTGTCGTATAATAAAACAATGCTTAGATAAAACAAATCACAGTTTAGAAGTGGGGGCTAAAACTTCATTTCTACGTATAAAATTCACATAGAAATGACGTCACGCGACATTTCAAATCAATATATCGTCGAAAGTATTCCTTTCTATAAGAAAATAAAAAATACGTGTCTAATGATTTAAAATAATCTACCAGACGGACATAAAATAAAAATTAGTCATCTACCCTATAATAATAACATTGCATAATGTTTTATTAACTGCTGTATTAATTCTTCATTAATTCTATTAGTCAAGAACTTGTTTGTTCAATCTCAGACATTTGGTGCTATTTTGTAAGACAGCATAGAGAAGACGCAAATATTGACATCATATACAAATATATTAAAAAACATAGCTTTTATACATTCTTAGAACATTCAAATTAGTATTCAAACTATTCTCGAATAGTGACAATGGGAATGATTCTTGCTTAGCATTTGCGATCACTATGTATTCCAACGCAATTATTTACATCCCGAAAATGTAGGTAAGTAAACTGACGGACACCGCTTATCATAAATACAAGATAGGTACGTAGCTATATAAAGTAACAATGCTACCCAACAATGCAATGAAACCGCAGAAAATTAATTCAGTTGTTACCTCCCACAAATTGGGAGGCCGTATCAATGAATTTATAATGATAATTTTAATTGACAATTTTCACAAAGGCTCCAAAATGTAACGGAACGTAATCAATTTTAAAAATAACGACATTTTAACTTTAAATGTGTGTCTACCGGGCATTGAATAATTTAATAGTGAGCAGCCATTTAAATATTAACGTTTTACCCATTATCAATTGGGTTAATAAAATGACTGCCTCATTGACCGAGTGGTCGCAAGTGCGACTGCCTTGCAAGGAGGTTGGCTCACCTCCTATTACATGGGACTCATAACATGAATAGTGAACAGTGGGTGTTACATTGTACAGTGGCATTAAGTGCCGTAATGTGCACCACTGCCTAACCATTGGGGTATAAAAGGCCTGACGATATGTAAGATATGTTAATAAAATGAGAGTATTTGAAACATGTTTTATTTTGTAACTGATAAATAAATTACATAAGATCACGCCTTTTATCCCCGATGGGGTAGGCTACGTGCACACAGAAGTAACACCCATTTTTCATTATTCAAATTTCAGTAAATAAATTAATGACCAATTAATTCATCATAACTAATTTTGAACCTTTTTTGTACAGGTAATAATCAAAAATATAATAATCATCGTCATATCTACAGCAAAGAAGAAAGTGTAGTGTGAATATTACAGTAAAATTAAAATATAGGGTCACACGAAAAAAGTTGAGTATATGTATAGTAATTTAAAATTAAAGCTTACAATAGCCTTTATAATATCTAGAAAACATTCCCAACGACCCCAAACACAAATCAACACAAGGATAAAAACTAAAAGAAACATAAAACAAAAAAATGCTGAACGCAAAACAAGCTGATATAGGACTTACCCACAAGGACCAGCTTGAAGAAGATACTGGTAGGTGGGTGTGTAGGGACCTGACACTCGTAGTAGCCAGCGTCTGCTGATGTAGCAAACCTTATGTGTAACGCCCAGTCCTGGTAGAAATAAATCACGTTAACTGTTTGCAAGAAGTAAAAGGTTATCTTGATAAAAGTTTTGGATGGGGATGGAGTCGATTTGATGGTACATGTTTTTGGGATGCGCTGATTTCGTTTTTACAAAAGACATTGTAAAATAGTACTGGTTGAGGCAAGGAAAAATTTTATGATAGATCCAAATGTTACAAGAAATATTACGTAAAATAATTTTGGGTTGTCAATTTCAAAATGCCAGCTTAAGATTGAAATGAATTTGGAAATAGACAACACGAATTTGGCAATCAAAATATAAAATACTAGCAGCCCGTCCCGGCTTTGCACGGGGTAGACAATTATTTATATTTGGAAATTTGGATTGTTGTAGTGACATAACTACAATATTTGGACATATGCTACCGCGGAGTTTTTTGTAGACATTATGATGTTCTTCAATATTGTTGTACATTATTTTGTTCTATCGCTAATAGTTTCGGCAGCGCAATCGACGAAAGACATTTTAAGACTCATTTTTCTACACCTTCGGTTACATTGTTCAAATTTTACCAAGGATCCCTAATGTTTTTCAAAATGAAATGTAGCTTATGTCAAATTATGTAGCATTCTATTGGTGAAAGATTTTTTTAAACCGGCCCAGTACTTTTTGAGCCAATGCATTACAAACATACAAACATACAAAAATAGGTAGAAATCTTTCCTCGTTATAATATTAGTATAGATTACTAACGGACTTAGCACATATCTTATAAGTCTTAAAACTATATCTCTGTTTACTGCCTTGGGTAACATTATGATAACATTGTGTATGTTTTTATTGAAATTAAATATTATAGAAAAACCTTTTAGCATTAGTCAAATCTTATCATTAGTAGGACAGTTCACTGTTGTAAGTAAACTGTTAAATGAAAACAAACTTTAGCTTTAATACCGTTGTAACTCGAGAGGATTCCCAAAAGCTTAACAATCAATTTAGTACCTTAATTCTAAGGAATAAAGTACACATAGACTCAGCAATCAATATTGTTGTACAGTAAACAACTAACTAATGAGTACAAGACAATAAACAAACAGCGAACAACAGCAATAATTCGTGGATACAGTTCCGAAAGATTTAACCAAACAAATCTAAAACAATTTTCGATTTCAATCCAAATCCAGTGAACTGTGTTGTAATCAGTAAATTAAACAAAAACAAACAGTATAGGAGTCTTCCAAATAAACCACAAGGAACAATTGAAACGAATTTGACAATAATGGGTGTTCTTAAAGGGAAACTCGTCCTTACGTCGAATCACTTTCATCGTTTACCTTACGTTGTTCATTTGTATTGGTCGTACTACGGCACCTAGGGAAATGTTCCGAACTTTCTCTGATAGCTGCTTTGTTGTCTCTTATCTTCATTTCCGAAACTTTGATCTCAATACCTTTAATTTCTTGAATACCATTAAAACTTGTTCCAATTATTTCATCATTAATTAAAATAATAAATAATTACTATTTTGATAACATTATTGTTCTTACACCTTTAATCTAAGTCACCGCTTTAATCCAGAGCTAAAAAGTAACGCCTATGTATTCATCCTTATCCCTTAAATACGTTCGCAACATCTCAACTCCGTAACACATCTCATTACAAAGCACAACAATCTCTTAATCCAGCCCTCATTCAGCGCAACATATAACTTTAATTTACACCCCGCTTAAGTAATACCTACATTTGAAAAACTAAATGAACCAGAAATGTAAACAAAGACTACAAAATCCAGGCTCCCTCATTATGCCGACGAAAAGAATGGAGACAGAAAATTCAAATGGAACGTAACTTTTGAAATGGCGGATGGAGCGAGATCGACGCGAGATTAATTTAATCGCAGGCACTTCACCGGGATGTTTCGAGAGCACTTGTACCTCATGTCAGGAGATGTACGGATATAAAAATTGTTTGTGCTAAGGGACCGGTGTTGATGATTTTAATCAGGGGAAAATAGGGATGTTTTGCGTTATACGTGCGTCGTGTAGAAGTGGTTTAATTTTATGTTTGTGTCATGAGTTGGGTGACGTTTTTGCTGAATTACTGCGAATATTATCTGAACAAATAAAAATGCTGTTGGATTTTTACTACCAACGCTTGTTAATATACTGGTAAAGTATAAAACAGAGTAACAATTTTTGCTTCAAACTTAGACGCTAACAAACTACGTACTTGTAAATATTTCACTAGCTGTTTTATAAAGTTGTTTAAAACTTGAGTGTAGACAAAAAGGGACAAAGCATCAAGCATTCATGAGACGAACTTCTTTAAGTTGATTTCTTGAGAACTCGAACTAAGCGTCCTAATCTAATTCTAAGTCATCATTTTCTTGATAAAAGACCATAGTAACACACTGGAACACTTTAATAAAAGGCTAGACTCTACTGAAGAGAAACCGCAAGAAAATTGAATCAGCCGTTGCAAGCGGATATTTCTAGGCAGACAAAGACGTTTTATAATGTCCATGCACAAAGGGAGCGCAGAATATATTATTTATTACTAGCTTTTGCCAGCGGCTTTGCTCGCGTTCTCGACAGATATAAAATACTCCATAATCTACCGCTGTACCAAATGTCATCCCGATTCCTTTAGCTGTTTTAATGTGAGGTAGTAGCAACTGGGATTCAGTTCAGAGATTATATGAGTGATGTTATCACATTGAGCAATACAATCATACGCAAATTCTAACTAATTTGTGCAAATTCAATGTACCTATTGTTAGCTAAATACTAATAACTTTTAGGTTTTGTTATTGTCCATTTGACTTCAATACCAATTTTAATTATTGTCAATGAGTATTTGGAAGGCTGCTCTCCTAAATACCTGGAATGGATATCGAGAGGTTTCATCATAGAATAACGTTAATTTTAATCGAATCATTAAATTATTACTCGACAAAATGTGAACACATTATATATGAGAACCACAATTTAAGATATGTTTGGTAATAAGTGGCATTTTTGTATTGTTAGTGGCGTGTTTTTATTCATCTAGTGGTTTATCCACATAAATGCGTTGTTATAAGCAAATATACAATACAGAGACAATTTCAGAATACATTCTACTACAGAAAAAATAACGCTAGATCATTCAACTAACTGGCTCGTTGGCCGAGTGTTCGCAATTGCGACTGCTGGGCAAGGGACTCGGGTTCGATTCTCGAGCCGGCAAAGTAATACTGGGTTTTTAAAAAAAATCTCAGTTGTAGCACGGGGTCTGGAATTGGCCCCGGGATATGGCCAAAAGCTCATCCCCTATTACATGGGACTCATAACATATATAGTGAAAATAGGTGTTACATTGTTCTGTGGCATTAAGTGCCATAATGTGTACTTCTGCATACCCCTTCAGGATAAAAGGCGTGATGAGATGTTATGTTATCATTCAACTGGAATCTTCTGTGATCTTGAAAACAAACCCATCAATAGTTTAGTTTCTAATAAACTGGAAGGGTCTACAGCTACTCTATAAACACATGTTCCCGATGATATTGAATGCAAAGCAGTTCATACAATCCTCAATGCTTAACGGCTCATGCAATCGATTGAGGATCGGTCAGATGGAAACTGTGCTCCGGATTTAGATTCGAATGTTGATTTGAAAGGAGGATTTCATACTACATTAGTTTCTGAGGAAGCTATTGATAACAAAAATAGTGTTGGTCTTTGATTTAATTTTATTAGTTCATTAGATCTCGATTTTAGTGTGGTGCGTTGCTCTTTAGTGTCGCTTCGATATACTTATTAGATATAATTGTAAAATACTGCATAAAAGACTGCCTCATTGGCCGAGTGGTCGCAAGTGCGACTGCCGGGCAAGGGGTCTCGGGCTCGATTCTCGGGTCGGGAAAAGTATTACTGGGTTTTTCAAAAAATTCACAGTAGTAGCACGGAGTCTGGAATTGTGCCCGGTATATGGCAATAGGCTCACCCCCTATTACATGGGACTTATAACATAAATAGTGAAAAGTGGGTGTTACATTGTACAGTGGCATAATGTACACCTCTGCCTACCCCTTCGGGGATAAAAGGCGTGATGATGATGTTATTGTAAAATATGGTCTATCTCGACTTTAAATACTAAATAGTGAAAATTGTTTACTATACGTTTTTAATAATAAATATTTTCTATTTCTTTGTCTTCCTACTATGTGGGTCACCGTTTAAAAATAAAAGTGTACATTGTATTACAATTTCTGAGAAAATATTTGTTGCTAACTGTAAAAAAGCAGTTCTTTTACCTGTTTCAGCCAATTGATGACAACAATAGGTAAAATAGAAAAGTACTAAATCGCGGGCACGCGCGAGTTTCTTATCTGCAAGTTGACGAATAAGGCGAGTCACAGTCGAGTAGATGACGCATTACGTGCAAAACACTACTTAGTGTTTAGTGTTCTGACAAAATATTTTTTCTGTTTCAGAAGAAACCTTAATCTACATCTTCGTGTCGCGGAGAACCTAACAGGTTACAGGTTACTCCGGCTCGACGTGCAGGAGAAGGAACGGGTTTTTAGTCAATAAGAGTCTTACACTCCCTCCCGCCTCACCCAGGCGGGAGCAGTCATTCGATGATTTTCCCACTTTAAAAAAAAGCTACATCTTCGTAGTATGATGGTGGGATTGATAGCAAATAGATTGTACCTTAACCATAAAGATTTGTTCCTAAACCATCCCTCAAAATATTATATAACAAGTTAAATATTTGTAATACATATTTCACAAACTTCAAACATAAACATAATAAATAAAAGCTGAATTTAGATAATGTATTTCGATATAAAACAGGGTTTATACCAGACGGGTAGCGGGCGAAACTAGGCTATTTATTCGAACAATCCTTCGTACCAAGTTGCGAAATGATATTACGTAACATTTGTACGTTCGTGTTAATGTACTGTTTTGTGTCTGCGGCAATTTTTACTCGTTTGACGTTTGACATTATTGATTTGTCTAGTCTTTACTTTTATTTGGTGTACCTACCATGAGCAACATGTTTGTCTTTTTTGAATATTGCCCACCCTAATATTTTCTCTTGTGTCGTAGATACGCTAACAATTACGAGTACGGAAGAACAATAATTTCTGGAATACACACATCACATCAACAGCCTATAAGTGGCTACTGCTGACCAAAGGTGTGAGAAGACGTGTGAGAAGAGGTTCTCACACGGAGAAGGTTTGAGCGCCAATCACTACGCTTGCTCAATGTGAGTTGCTGATATCAAACTCATAATTAGAAATTATAAGCCCAGGTTTCCCACAATGTTTTCCTTCACCGTTTGACATTGGCGTCTAAATAATCTTAGAAAGTACATGTAACTCGGAAAAAGTCACATTGGTACTTGCCGTTGGTAGGTTTCGTACACGCACTCTTGTGCGAGAAGAGTAAGTCTTAGGGACTACTCACACTTATTCAGCTCTATTCAGCTTATGTCCATAGAAAACAACGATTTTGTAGGGAGACGCGTACGCATCCATTCAGCTTTCCGCGTTTAATCAGCTTTCGCGGCAAACGAGTATAAAATGAGAACAAACGTGTTTTTGTCATGCGAGTGCTTTAGATAGAGATCAACGCTGATCTGCCACATTCAGCGCTGTTCCGCCGCGTTTGACGCTGAATGGGGCGGAAAAGCGCTGCGTACGTATGGTTCTCAACTCCTTGTCGACAAGTTGCAACCTGCATAGCTCCTGGATAGATTTGATTAATTATTACGTAATCATTATGCACGCAAGGAACGAGAGAGTGTTTTAAAGTAAATCTAATTACCTCCTTTATTTTTTCGAAATAAAATAATAGACGAAGAGAAACTTATATTTCTAGTGCAAAAATATTCTTGCTTGTAAAAAATAGCGGAGATAACACTCTTAAGCCGCTGTACGCTGCTGATAGAAGTGGAACTGAATAAGTGTGACCAAAACCATTCAGAAAAACGCGAATAGAGCCGAATAAGTGTGCGTAGTCCCTTAAACCTCCAGGCCATCACGACATTTATTCTACTGGTTGATAGACATCTGCAACACTTTGTGTAACCACTAATGAGCATTGAGGACGTTCTGCACCAACCACTTACAATTACATTGACAACCTTTTTTTTCTTTGAAATATTTATTATCTACTAGCTGTTGCCCACGACTTCGACCGTGGCAACATTTAATCGAGGTAAATAATCCTATCACCTAAGTCAGCCTACATTCTGCCTGTATACCTATCAAATATCATGAAAATCCGAACAGTACTTTTAGCGTGATTGACGGACAAATATCAAAACATCCAAACTTCCAATCAAAGAAACTTCCACATTTATATTATTAATGTGATTAACCTACAGTTGAACGTACTATACGAAATTATAAATATGTAGGTAAATCTTTTTTTTTAAGGGGGGAAATCATCGAATGAATGCTCCCGCCTGGGTGAGGCGGGAGGGAGTGTCACACTCTTACTGACTAAAAACCACCCCGTTCCTTCTCCTGCACGTCGAGCCGGAGCCCCGGTAACCCGTTAGGTTATTCGGAGTTGCGGAGAACCTAACGGGTAACCGGGGCTCCGAATTTTCACCCCTTTAAAAAAAAACCCGTTAGGTTCTCCGCGAGTCCGAATCAGCATCGGCTCTGTTGGGCCCCCACCTGTAGTGGTCTGATGGCTCTTTGAGGCGCGCGTGCAACGCGACGCGCCGTACGCTCGGGTTTGTTTCTGGTCGGACGGGGAGCCACCCATGCTCGCCATCTGCAGGCCCGCGGTTACGGTGGCCGGAGATGGTCCCGCGATCCCCGACGCCCGGTGTGTCCTTCGCGATGGCTGGGTTGCGAGGAGGCAGCGCTTCGCTGCCTCACGCGTCCCGCCTCCACCTTAGCTAGCATGACTGCTTCGCAAAAGGAGGAGACGGCATCCCAGTCCCCCTCGCTCCGCATCAT